TTTTTTTTTTTTTTTGTTCGTTAGTTTGAAAGTATCCAATGGCGAGAGCAGAATCAGTCCGCTGAACCAATCCAAAGCGGGAAATAACCATTAGGCCCTCCCTCAAGAAGAGCAGCATAAAATATCTAAATCTAAACTGTCACAGGGGGTAAACACAATAAAAAACATGCTTTATCTGCAGCATTGCTCATTAAAATGGTCCATTACTGATTTATTAAAACTAAATACGATAGGTACACTTAACTCATTGGCTGCCAAAGACGTCTATAGACGTCTTTTATGTTTTTTTAATACGAGTGGCTGGGGGACGATCTGCTAAAGCTTGTCCGTAAATATCGGCTTCTAGACAGAGTATGTAGTAACAAATTGACCCTCTAGGGGGCAGTGCCACTTTTGATGGGAGATGAGCATAGACTGTAGGCAAATAAGAAAAAGCTAACGGTTCGCTATGAGAGAAATGGCGCCGGTGAGACGCAAGTCGAAGAAGAACCGAATAAGGTAGAAACAAAAAAAATTTTCCTGATGAAAGAAGAGAGTCTACTCTTTCTTTTGGTGTGTTCGGTGTTTACATAGTCATAGCACAAACTATTCTGTGGCCAGGAAGAACAGAATAAGGTAGAAACTAAAAAATAAACTCTGGCAGTATGGGACTCTGTTCTGAAAATGGCTGCCAGTCAATGAGTTAATGACATTATATAAGCCGTTAGGTATTATGGTTGGCAAGTACTTTAACTTTTAATACTTAAGTAGTTTTAAAAGCTTGTACTTTCTTACTTTTACTTAAGTAAAATAATCATGTGGCACTTTGACTTTTACTTGAGTAAATTTCTGTCTGTGCATTTGTACTTTTACTTAAGTACATTGTATGAGTACTTTCTCCACCACTGATTAAAACTAAATACGATAGGTACACTTAATAACATTATATAAGCCGTTAGGTATTATGGTTGGCAAGTACTTTTACTTTTAATACTAAAGTAGTTTTAAAAGCTTGTACTTTCTTACTTTTACTTAAGTAAAATAATAATGTGGCACTTTGACTTTTACTTGAGTACATTTTTGTCTGTGTATTTGTACTTTTACTTATATCTTAAGAGGGTGGGGACTCACTCTAGGCAGCGCACCCCCCTCTGGGTCCATCTCTCGGAGGGGTTAGCGCACACAAACCGGCCCCTCAGGTGGAATCTGCACAGAAAGAGACGAAAAAAGTAAAAAAATCAGGATTAACCATGTCTGAGGCTCATCGGTGGATCATTAAACAGCTTTTTATCAAACGTTTGAAAGGCAAACCTCTTTGGTTTGGGGGTAAATTATTGACAAAGTCCCGGTGAACCCCAGTAAATGAGTGACAATTAGTTTAACCCTATAATGCCAAATGTGTCATTTTTTATATGGTTTCTGAAGTCTTTTGGATCTGAGACTTTTTTGTCATTTTTCAATCTTTATTAGAGCCTTTAGATTAGAATATTAGAATGTTTATCAATTATTACTGTGTAGTAAATAAAAATATGCCGTCTTCTACCTGCTGTTATCATATTTATTTTTATGTTTATGCATTTAACGGACGCTTTTATCCAAAGGTAAAGGAATCAGGTAAATCTGAGTGTTTCCAGGAGGGTTGGAGCAAAGTTTTTGACCATTAAATGCTGCAGAAGACCCTGTAATGCCAAATGTATCATATCTGATTCATACGGTTTCTGAAATGTTTTGCGTCTGACTCCTTTTGCTTAATTTAATGGTAAAAACTTTGCTCAAAATCCTAAAATCCCAAAAAATTATTATTATTATTATTTTTTACATATTTTGTTTAAAGGCCAAATAAAGGCTTAAAACCAAAAAATAAAGTAATTTTCTGTTTTTTTTTAATTCTTGGATCAGGCTTTAAAGGGTTAATTTAATGGTAAAAACTTTGCTCAAAATCCTATTGTACACAATCACATACACCTGATAACAGAAGACTACACAAAAAATAATCTTTACTTATCACATAGTAATAAATTATTAATATTAAAAATGTATTTTTGTTTTTTCTTTTTACATATTTTGTTAAAAGGCCAAATAAAGCTTCAAACCAAAAAAAAGTACATTTCTGATTTGTTTTATTCTTGGATCAGGCTTTAAAGGGTTAATTTAATGGTAAAAGCTTTGCTCAAACCCCTGTTGTACACATTCAGATATCCCAGATAACAGCCAGTAGAAGACTACACCAACATACATTTTTGACTTATTGCACGCTAATTTGATCAAAATAATTCCTGTTTTTTTTCTTCATATGTTGTTGAGGGGCCAAAGAAAGACTTCAGACTAAGAAAAATCCAATATTCTTCCTATTTTTCTTGGATCAGGCTTTAAAGGGCTAACAGAACCACGTTTTTTTGGGCTCGGTTGGGTCAAAGCTGGGTTGGGTTTGTGGGGTTTATGTCTTTTGGCTTCTGTCTTTTGGCTTTTTTTGTTTGGACTCACATCACTGCCCGGATATCGCAGGACCCCCGGATGTTCTGGACGCTGTAGCCCAGGAGGCGTTTGCAGGGAATGGGCCGCCGGGTGTATCTCACACAGCAGCTGGCTGCAAAAAAAGGGGCAAAAACACCTTTAATTTAAGCTAGTTTAACCCTGTAATGCCAAATGTATCATATCTGATTCATACGGTTTCTGAAATGTTCTGCGTCTGACTCCTTTTGCATAATTTAATGGTAAAAACTTTGCTCAAAATCCTATTGTTCACAATCAGATACACCTGATAACAGGGGGCAGAAGACTACACAAAAAATAATCTGGACCTATCGCATAGTAATAAATTATTAATATAAAAAATGCATTTCTGTTTTTTCCTTTTACATTGCGACTCCATGAGAAAATGAGTATGGCTGATGATAAGTAGATGATAAAATAACATTTGGAGATGATAATGCGGCATTATGAATCAAAGACTTGTATTTTTCACACAAAACGAAGTGTTTGGAGGCAAATAAATCAGATAATCAACTCCAAACATCTGTTTTAGTGCATTTAAATATTTCAATTCAACAGATTAAAACACAGAATTTCCACTTTTAGCAGGAATTAAAAAAAAAAGAGCTGTCATACTTCTTTAGTATCTATCTTAGGCTATATTGAGCTCATTTAAATTAAAAGCTATGTGTAAAAAGCTGTGTTTTTCCCACCTGGGTGGATTTTTTCCTGCAAGAAGGATTCACCAGAGACCTGATTTTTTCATGAATTTATGCAGATATATAGATATAATTCAGTAAAATGACACCAAACTTTGCGACTCTATGAGAAAACTGCTACTAATGAACATGGCTGTTGATAAAATAGCACATTTACAGATAATAAAGCTGCACTATGAATGAAAGACTTGTGTATTCAGGATGTTTAGTCTTCTTCAGCTTCATTTTTCACACAAAACGAGGCAAATAAATCAGATAATTAACGCCAAACATCTGTTTTAGTGCATTTAAATATTTAAATTGAACAGATTAAAACACAGAAGTTCCACTTTCTGCTGGAAAAAGAGGTCTCATACTTCTTTAGTATCTATCTTAGGCTAAATTGAGCTAATTTAAATTAAAAACTACGTGTAAAAAGCTGTTTTGCAATTTAATTCAACAGATTAAAACACTTTTAGCAGGAATAAGAAAAAAAAAAAAGAGCTGTCATACTTCTTTAGTATCTATCTTAGGTCATATTGAGCTCATTTAAATTAAAAAAGAAAGTGTAAAAAGGTGTCTTTTTTCCACCCGGGTGGATTTTCCTTGGAGAAGGACTCACCGGATGAAGGCAGCCAAAGTAAATGAAAAAAATTGAGTATGGACAGCTTCATTTTCAGCTTCATTTTTCACACAAAATGAGGTGTTTGGAGAGAAATAAATCAGATAATCAACGCCAAACATCTGTTTTAGTGCATCTAAATTTAAATTGAACACTTTTATCACTACAAAGCTAGTGGCTGTTTTACATGCAAAAAGGGGGGACGTCACCAGTCTTTCCACTTTAGATTTAATATATTTACTCCAGATGAGCTCAGAGGGCCTTTGTATTTGGTTCTTTTTTGTTCAAAACACAGAGAAAACCAAATGCTTCTTCTTGTTTTTCCTCCAAAAAGCCCTAAAAACGTGCACAATGGCGGATTTTAGCTAGAATTAGTATCTATCTTAGGCTAAATTGAGCTCATTTAAATGAAAAACTATGTGTAAAAAGCTGTCTTTTTTCCATTTTTTCCCACCCGGGTGGATTTTTCCTGTGAGTTGGACTGACCTGAGTGTGTGCTGCTGATGAGGGCGGTCAGCAGCAGGAGGGCGGCCAAAGCGTAGACTCTTTTAGCGGGCATCTCTGGGACAGACAGGTGGAGCTGGGCTCGTCTGGAGGAGTCTGAGAGAAACACGGTTAGATAAACGGTATTTATACCTGGCTCAAGGTTTCTGGGACTTCCTGGAGGGGCGTGGCCACAACGTGTGCTTTTGTCAGAGCAGGAGGTGGTTAAAGATTCACCTGAGAGGAGGAAAGAATCCAGTCAGCAGGAATGTGTTTGCAATCCACTCTAGTTTTTAACCCTGTAATGCCAAATGTGTCATATCTGATACGTACTGTTTTTGAAATGTTTTGCGTTGGACTCCTTTTGCATAATTTAATGGTAAAAACGTTGCTCAAAATCCTGTTTTACACAATCAGATACAACTGATAACAGAAGACTACACAAAAAATATAGTAATAAATTATTAATATTGAAAATGTATTTCTGTTTTTTCTTTTTACATATTTTGTTAAAAGGCCAAATAAAGACTTAAGACCAAAAAATAAATTAATTTTCTGTTTTGTTTTATACTTGGATCAGGCTTTAAAGGGTTAATTTAATGGTAAAAACTTTGCTCAAAATCCTGCAGAATACTACATAAAAAATAATCTTGACTTATCGCATAGTAAAAAATTATTAATATTAAAAATGTATTTCTGTTTTTTCTTTTTACATATTTTGTTTAAAGGCCAACTAAAGACTTAAAACAAAAAAAAAAGAATTTTCTGTTTTGTTTTATTCTTGGATCAAGCTTTAAAGGGTTAACAAACTGCCTTTTAGAGGAGACTCAACCCCATAATGCCACACAGAAGAACCCTTTAACTTTTACTAAAGTCAATTTTTTTTTATATAGTACTTGTACTTCTACTCCAGTACTTTTCCCACAAGGTTGCCGGTTAAAAAGTGATATTTATACGTCCGAATTTGCATGAGATGTAATCCTCCCGAGGGCTTTAAACTTAACGTTTTATTTTTGTTGACAGACATTAATGTGGCCCTAAGGGCATTTAAATCCACCTCAAAATGCTTCAGAAGATGAAAATGGAAAAACCCTCCGGGGCATTTTGGTCAGAAGCCAACAGCTAATGTGTGTGTTGTGTTTTTAACCAATCAGGATCACAAATCTGCCATCAAAACAAAGCTCTCTGTTTGAAAAGTGGCTTTTTTAAATGCAATTTCACCAGGCCTTCCACTTTAGATTTAATATATTTACTCCAGATGAGCTCAGAGGGCCTTTGAATTGGATTATTTTTGCTCAAAACACAGAGATAACCAAGTGCTTCTTCTTGTTTTTCCTACAAAAGCCCCAAAAACGTGCACGGTGGCGGGTAAAATGCTTAAATCCGGAGAGATTCCTTTGTAAAAGAAGCTTCAAAACAAGTTCGGCTTGAGTCCTCAGGCTAAAATAGTGAAATGAAACCTACGTTGGAGGTTATAGAGACCTTCAAAAGGGCCTTTTCTGCTGCAGGTTAGAGAAGAAAACCCATTAAAAATCATTTGGATTGATATTAGGACTGAAACTACAGATCAGAATCAGAATCAGAATCAGAATAAGGTTTATTGCCAAGTAAGTTTTTAGACTTTTGCCTTGGTGTTTGGTGCACAACACAACACTTAAATAGAAATAAAAATATAGAACAGAAATGATAAAACTGAAAAATACAATCTCTAAAAATATAGATCTGATTGTACAAATGAACAGATGGACCCAATGTCTCTTATTCTAGGCTTTCCATTTAAATATGTTCTGTTAATAAACCAGAGACAGTTTAGTATTCTTACATATGCAGCTAGGAAGAATATTTTATTGCTATTATTGGATAAATAATAGAGTTAAAGGCTGGCATAAGGTGCTTTTTGAGTTGATACCCTTGGAATATTTAACATGTATGATACACTCCAAATCAAAACAATTTTACAAAGTTTGGGAACCTTATTTTAACTACCTTGACCCGAATGTATCGGCCATTTTGTTAAAAGGATTTAAAGGTCTGTCGACTATTATTATTGTTATTTTTACTGATTGTGGCAGTGATATTGTTATTATTATTCTCATTACTACCATTATTATTATTATTACTATTATTATTTAATTTAACCTTATATGAATATAAGGGAAAATTCAATAAATACAATAAAAATATAAATTAAAAAAAGGATTTAAAGGTG